GTAACTGTAACTGTAACTGTAACTGTAACTGTAACTGTAACTGTAACTGTAACTGTAACTGTAACTGTAACTGTAACTGTAACTGTAACTGTAACCGTAACCGTAACCGTAAGGCCAACATAATCTGTAAATGTGTTGGATCTACTGCGCACTCTGGGCGCCGAATTTGAATTTCCTGTTCCGAGTTGACCAATAAGAAATCAGTTTTGAACTCCATTCATGTCTCGGTACTTTCATAATAATTACATGTGTTGTCATGAAGCCACACACATCGCCGCCTGCACGTCGGGGGCGCTGGGTAATGCACAGAGCGGTGACGGTAAGGTATTTGGACTGTCTCATTAATGTTCATTTCAATAAGAACCCACAAAATGCAAAAAAAGCCAGTATAAATACGATCCATTGATTATAACGTAAATTCTGACATGAAACTGAGGCCAAAAGGCTGGGGTAAATCTACTATAGTATATTGTGCCTCTAGGGATTAAAGTATTTTCTGACGAAATGTGAGTTGATACTGATAATCACATGATTATCAGTATCATTACAGTATCATTATCATTATCATGATTCTCATAGGGACTGAAAACTACGATCTAACCGAGCGCAGCGAGGTTAGAATCGTATTTCCCAGTCTCTAGGGGAATGAAATAATTTCCGTATTAAATTTGAAGTTTTATATTCCGTTTGTGCGGTTTAAGTGTTTAATGGTATACCATAGGTTCAGCAAATGATAACGACAAGTTTGGTATCAAAAGAAACAGTAAAAATATTAGTGTATTTAAACTGCATCGGTAACTAAATTAATAGAATTCGTCTATCCTATTAAGATGATAATCATTGGAGTTAAATTAAATACTGAAAGAAATATTTACCTCTTGGCGAGCCAGCCATCGTTATATTGGGACTATTCTGACAATCTGATGAAGGTGATTGGCTATACGTATCCATGAGATCATCGTTAGACTTGCTAGAGGCAGTGACGATTGCATCAAAAGTTGACGCTAAATTGTCACAGTTTTTACTCATACTGAGAGAGTTGGCAGTGATCGCAGTGGAGGGTGACATTTGGCAGCTTTTGTTAGACTTCGCGGTATTCATTTGTTCATGGAGAGAGTCGAGCAATAGGGCAAGAAACTCTTGACAATCGTGCTGTAACAATATATGTAAAAGTTGGTAATTGTTCTTTACATTTCTTTATATTGTTGATTGCAGGCAGGCATCTCTGTTTTTTTTCTCCGTGGAATTCCATAATTCTGCGTGGAATTCGCTGGTGGCTACGTAGTGAAATATAAAATGTGTACACTACGGGAGTATAAAGTTCTTTCTTCAGGTGTTTTTGCGGGCCAGACGTGTTTAATTAATCTTGATATATTAATTATTACAAAAAATAAATTCTATGGTGTCAGGGGGTACGATATCGGCTTTTTATCAAGGCGTCCCTAGATATCTCCTTACCTCGACAGCACCAAAGCTCAATCATCCCCTATTCGTACTTTCCTCTAGCGAACTTATAACTACAGCTACGAGTTACGAGTTCATTTCCCGATAATGAAAAATCTTTCGCATCACCGGAATTCGAATCCTCGCTCATCATGGAACGGTTTGTTGAGGGGGCCAGCTCACTGACAACTAGACCAACGACGCCTCTCTGCATTTCTAGTTAAATTCAATAAATTTTCGAGATTTCTGGATACCATGAATTTTTGTATGTAGAGCACACCTCAACGTGGATATATCAAATAGCTTTTAGGCTACACTTTTTACGCTGAAGTAGTTGAAAAAAGTGAACTACTCTCGATGCATTAAGTATGGTAATGAATATAACAACTAGCACTCGAATTCCAGAATCGGAGTGTGGTGAATATCTTGAAATTGAAGGGAAATCGAAAATTATTCATAACGATTTTTTCAGTAGATCTTGTTCTGGGCTATAAGAACGATTTATTTGAAGCGCAATTGAAGTTTTCAGGGTTCTCACATAAGGGAAGATGATAAATCTTTGGAAATTAGGGACTCTTTGGCGGAACAGGCAACGGACCAGATTTAAACGAATGTACAGATTTAGAGCGGCCTATCAGGCTTCTTTTGAATCAGTACAGTGCAATACACTTATATAAGGTGCCCCCTCGATAACTTCACCCTCCCCTGTTTCGAGGAGAGGAAAAATTTCTCCACAATTCTGCCACTATCACACACTCTCTTCGTTCAACATACACTCTTTCGCTTAACCAGACATGGGCAAAGTGGGAACCTCAGAAGCCCAGGCCATAAAACCGTATTAGACCCATTGTTCAGAGTACTATATCACAATTGCGTGAGACCCGGCGTACCTAGAATGATGGTCGCAACGAAATCTATTTATCTTTTCAATATTCAAATTGGAACAAATAATGGTCAGACTCTAATGGAATTTGCATAGGAATTCAAGAGAATTTCATTAAAATAAAGAATTGTTTATTAAATTTTTTAATCTATGATCATTTTTCAATTGCCTTTATTCGATCACTATCGGCATTATTCATCATTCACTCATAATTATTTATTTTCGTGGTTAACTCGAAATGGATGAATTTTCAAAGATTTCACAGTGGGATCGATATAATGCAAAAAAGCCAGTAAGACATGACATGATGTAATTAAAATTTTTTATATCCGTGCTTTTTTAAGGTCAAAAACCTTTCAAATTTAAGTAAGACGTCACATTCAATTCCCGAAAACCGGAAAACTCCCTTCATTTTTTTAAATTCTGCGTAGGGAATGTTCTAACAACATCCAGTCAATAAGTTAACCTCGTGTATAAGTAGTAACTCTAGAATTAATTTTTGTTGATGTCTTTCTCGTTGGGCTCATGAAATCTTGCAAGGGATGTCAAAGTAGATCAAATAATACGTGCAAAAAATTTCATAAAATTGGCTAATTATTTTTTCATCACGAGTCCACCCCATAATACCCTTAACCCTTAATCAAATAAAGAACCAAGTTGAAATATTTTCAATGGAGGAAAAACTTGAGCAGAACATGGAACCTCGATCGATGTTCGGCAATTGAAGATAGTTTAACCCGGTTCTTTATTCAATTTCATTGGATTTTGTAACATAGAAACTTATTCAAAATGTTAACTTGAGAGAATTCTTTCAAAAACTTAAGTTGTTAAATTTTTTAATTGCCAAGGGGAAACTTCATGCTGGACGTTAAGTTTATGTAGCAATTTTTACGTGGTCTAGTGTGCTAACAAAATTTCGTTAAAAAAAAAACAGAAGAATTGAAATATCTGATGAACTAATAATCCGATTCAGACCTTCTTCAATACCAAATATTTCACTGCCAGGCGAAAACTTCATTCCAAATTTCAAGTTGATGAATCAATCTTTCGCAACGTTACCGTGCTAAGAAATTTTTCTTGAAGCTAGGGCAATATCACAGGCGCGGGCGATAGGCACACGCGATGTTGGGAACCATTTTTATTATCTGTGATCATATATTCGGTATCCTCCATCCAAAAACATTAATCTGTTAAAGCAATCCTATTAAACGCTGGAATATTGAATAATTAATGATCATTCTTTTTTTAATTGTAACTACACGGAGAGAAATATTTAGTAAAAATTACGGAACTTTCAGTTCACTTACCGATTACGGAGTTGATTCGAAAAATTTAAGTGACGGTATCGTTATTTTTCACCCATAATTAAGATAAAAATTACGGAACACCGCGGAAAAATTCCGTGACTTTAGATAAAAATTACGTGACAGTTCCGTAAAATTTCCGACAACCACATTTCGCTCCAGAATTACGAAAAACACACGTAATTTTTATTGAATATTTCTCTCAGTGTATTGTGACATATTGAGATTGAGCGATAAGTCGTGTGATATCCAAAAACCTATATAAATAGTTTTTATTCAATTTCATAAATATTAACTACTGTAAATACCTTCATTGAATATTAAATTCCACTTTCAATAAATCAGTCCAATTTCACCATCACGGAAATTGAAAATGCAAAATCATCAAAAATTAATTTCACCATACACGTGAGTGCATTCGCCTTTGCGCCAGAATGACATGTGTCAGGGCAGTGAACCTTACCGGCGAAATCACGCGCTATCAAAATTGCTGAATTGACAGGTCAATTCCCTTCAAGAATAAAAAGTGGGAAAATCACACCATAATTTCCACCAATTAAAAGTCGATTCGTGTAACCACCACAAACCGATCCGCTCTCCAAAATCCAAAAGACAAACCAGTCTAGAAACCACCGTCGGAGCGATAATTTGACTTGGTGGAAATTACTTTGCGGAATCGATCTGTCTCTTCTGATCCTCCCATACTATAATTCGCAACTGATTCGATGTAGTGCGCGGTAACCTATTGAATAATAGTAAAGAGCTAAACGGACTGAAGTGTACAGGGATACTGCATCCTTGAATCGAAAGTAGGAGTGTTTCTTGCATATTAAGAGGACTAATTCATTAGTTTCCGTGGTTGTAGACATTCTCAAAACTCTTAAATTTTGTCTATTAATTATAAGCGAGTGGGTGAACGTGGCAGAATAAGAAGTATTCATAATAGGATCAGAGACTACTCTTATTCTGGTGAAGAAAGACGATTGTGTCACCGAAGGATCCACGCCTATCCATAAGAAAGGATTACAATAATAATACTGCTCAACTGTGAGTCTCAAAGAATTAGTTTC